TTTCCTTAATTTTTCTTGGCGCTTTTGAAAATTACCGGGAATTTTAAATGTTGACCTCCCCAATGCACCAACGATATTCACTTTCCAATCGAACAAGATATTGAAGTTGAAAAAAGAAGCATTATTTAGACTACTTATCGTGTACCAAGACACAAAAAAAAATTTTAAAAAAAAACACACATCATTGTAAAATCAATAGGTACATTCATCGTTCCACTCAGAATCTAAAATCCCAAAAATAGCAAAAACTTGCATTTATAACTTTTAGATTTGAATTCGTACTTACATGAAACGTATTAAAAATTTACTTAGCAATTAATTGAAAAAGTAGAAAAAAAGTTGCAAATTCAACATTATCCGTTCCCTACTAATGTCTAATGATCAGTCACTACCTACCTGCAGATACAGTCACACACTCACGATGGATATAGAACTTTGTCTAAATCTGACGCCTTACCAATGGTCAGTTTCATCAGACGAATAATAAATGTTGTTTAATTTTGATACCTAATAATTTATAATTTACATCTAACATTGCACTATTATGACAAATTAAAATATTAATAATAAATGCTGCATAATAATAACATAACTCATAAGTAGTATCTACTTACCTTTAAAACATTCATCTAACTGTTCAAATCTCCGTCCTGTAATAGTTGATTTGGTGAATTCATCCATATTTTTTATAATTTTATAAATTATAATAAACCTAGTGAGCAATTTGGCAAATATTTTTGTAATAATTTATTGTAGGTACATACAATATATTGTTTATGTCTGGAGGCTTGGAGAACTGGGGCTAGACAAAAAATGTATTTCAAGTACATAAAATCATAAGCATTGAGTAAGTTTTCTTAGTGAATACAATATTCATCAAATAATAAAATATTATAAAATAATAATAACAAACTTTAATAACAAAATTACATTTGATTGCATATATTATTATGTAAATACATGGGCAAGAGTGAAATATTTTTAAGTACCAAAGGGGAGGGGGGCCAATAGCGAATAGCATCCCCCTTTATATCCGCGCCTCACCATGCATAATAGGCTCTTGCAACGTCAATGTCAGTACATTACCTCATTTAATTTTTTTTTTTTTATAGTTTGTTGTACAAAATATTGAATAACTTTATTTTATAGTAAACTTTGCCTATATTTTATTGTTAATAAATGAATCGGCTAACATTTGAAGTTACTACAATTTATAAATAATTTAGATAGATTTGAACATACTTATATAGCTATCAATACTATAAATAGTTGTTAAAACTATATTTTATTTAAGTAATATATCAAAAACACAATAAGTACTAGGTAAATATTTTTTTTAGATTCTGAGTGGTGAACGATGAATGTATTGATTTTATAATGATGTGTGTTTTTTAATTTTTAATTTTTTTTGTGTCTGTGTACACGATAAGTAGTCGAAATAATGCTTCGATTTTCAACTTCAGTATCTTGTTCGATTGGAAAGTGAATATCGTTGGTGCATTGGGGAAGGTCAAATTTTAAATTTCCCAGTAGTTTTCAAAAGCATCGGGAAAAACAAAAGAAAAATTAAAAAAAACGGGAATTTTTACGCAAAATCTGTTTTCGAGAAATACGATTTTGGTTTTTGGTGTAAACTTAAAACAAATGACCGTAGATACATGACATGTTCAGTGGTTATTTATATTTGCATTTTCTATACACGATAAAATTTTAAAAATATTTTGATTTATTTTGAACTGTTTAGGGACATTTTCAGTTTCCAATTTTATTAGTTTTTATTTTATGAATATCAATAAAAATTTATTTGTTGATTAAAAATACTTGAAAATTGAATACAAGGCTCCTACTATATTGTTTCAAAGACAGATGAAAAATATTAAAAATCGTTAGTCACAGTTTTTTTTTTAAGCATTTAAAGTTCAAAAAATGACAAAATATGGAAAAATCACTAAAATTTGCAAATTATTTCGAGTTAGAAATTCATAAAAATTTTTCTTTTTAAATCTAAGATATGAAAATGTAATACAAGATTCCTTATAAGATTTCCCAAATTTATCAAAAAAAAAAATTCTATAAGAAAGTCAAATTAAATTTTTATGAGCGTTTGAAATTCAAATTTTTACAACATTGGATATTCACTCGATTTCTCATGTGGCGATTTCCTTATTTTGTTGTAATTCAAAAACAAATTACTGTAGATACATGAAAATTTCACTGAATGTTTATATTAGCATTTCCTATACACCATACAATTTTGAAAATATTTTGACTCTTTTTGAGCTGTTTACGGACAATTACATTTTTTAGTTTTTTTTCTATAAATATCAATAAAGTTTTATCTGTTGGGCCAAAAAGTGTAAAAATTTAATACAAGGCTCCTGATATATTGTTACAATAGCAATTGAAAAATATTAAAAATACATATAGGCACAATTTTTTTTTATAATCATTTAAAGATCGCATTTTGACAAAATTTATCAAAATCTCGAAAATTATCAATCATCGTAATTAATAAATTATAAAATGTTCAGTTTTTATAGCTAAGGATTGAAAATTTAAAAAAAAGATTCTCATAAATAGTTCATACTGTAGCCAAAAAATCTAAAATATATATGAGCACAGTTATTTTTTACAGACATTTTAAATTCATATTTGGACAAAATTACATATTAAAAAACCTAGAATAACTATTTTAGTTATTTTGTTGTGATTGTATAATATTATTCGTGGGTACTTGAAACTTCTAAAGTATACTATTATATATCTATGATAGTATCACAGATTTTGTTGATGTGTAACGCGTTATAAGTAACTAATGGATATTGTGATATGATTAATTTGGAATTTATTATAGGTACCTATTATAGCCTATAGGTCAATTTTTTGTTTAATATCATAGATATATAATATATATAATATGTCTTATACCTAGACTGACATACCGTCTCCGCTCAGAATCGTTTTTCTTATACAATGATATTATATCGTTGAATTCAAATTTAATATCATCCATTATACAGTGACCCACTTGTAACCTACTGTACAGCAGAGCGACACCCACTTGCTCACCTTTTTTTTTTTTTAATATTAAATTATTATTTATAAATACATCAATTATATCGAGACAACAATTTTAATAATAATCATGCATCAAAAACTGAAATTAAAATGATGAAATAATATATTAATCGGCATCATTATTTTTATTGGTAGTCAGTACGGCTATCCTAAAAAAATGTTTGCACACCTCTTGGAGCCGTGGCGCACAATTTGAAGCCAATAGTAACTACCTACATAGTATGTAATAATAAAATTTAGCTTAGTTGAATAATTGTTTTGTGTCTACAGTATAGCTTAATAGCGTATAATATTAGTATAATGTATTTTCATTGATTATGAATATTACTTTATTAGTATTTAAATAGTAATCAATAAAATAAAAACTACAATTGGATATTTATTTTCACCTTGTAAGCAAAAATACATTTATATTTTACTATATATATATTATATAAAACAATAATGTATTATATTAAATTTAAATTAATAAATGTATATTATTCATTCTATTCTTTTCAATTCAAAATCCAGCTTTTTATTCATTAACCGTTTTATTGTGGTTTATCTGTTTACTTATCCTTCAATTAAAAAAAAATTTTATAACAACTTTGTTTTTAAAATCCAATATTCGTGTTCTATATTGTAAGGTCTATATTGCATTAAACAAAGCGTATGTATTTTAGTTGTAATTTCAATTATTATACCCAATTTAATTTTAAGATGAATTTGTGTGTGTATTATGTGTATGGCACGGAACAATAATTACATCATGCTTATATAAGTAAATTACAAATGGTTTATATTATTATTGTATTAGATCAATAGTTTGAAAAAAATGTATTGATAAATTGTATTGATATGAATAACATATTTATGGAAAATATATTTAAGTCATATTGTTAGTTGATATTTTATACAAAAAAAATGGGGGGAGGATAATGTAATAATAATTTTCAAAGAACACCAGACAAGATTACATTGATCTTATTGTTAAACTTAGCAAGTACATATTTTGATGAAATATTTAACAGATAATAAAATATAATCCACAATATTGAAGCTATTGACTGAACATCATTATACCTATTTGCCACTTGGCTATCGCAAAAACACCTTTAGAGTCCAACCGTCCTCAATATTGCACATGCAAACGGTTTTCCCTCGTTACACACATGTTACATTTAATTTTTAAAAAAAAAATTATTAGTTTATTGGAAGTATATGTTTTGAAATAATTTTGAAGTATTTCTTATAATTAATTTACAAAAAGTATTAAATATAATAATAATAATAATAATAATAATGTACTGGCATTTTGAAGTGTAAAAGATACTATAAAGAAGAACTTATTATTCATCAGAAATTTTTATTACAACCAAATATAAGCTCATTTATTTTTAAAAAAATACATTGAACAGACAGAAAATATTTCTTCACTTAAATGTAAATAAGTAACTACAAATAATTTTATAATGATAAGCTCGCTGCCTTTGTATAAGTACCTTTTTTCATTTTATTTTTAAAGTTTACATAAAACTGTCCGAATCGTAGCCAGAGTAGTCAGTGTTGGCTGTCATATTTTCAGTTTTCATAAGAGATGAGTAAGACCTGAAAATGATTATAACATAAGATAAATATTTATTAATTTGTATTTCAATATTGTTGGGTGAAGTGGGGTAATTGTAAATTAGAGCAATTAAAAATAATGTTATAATATTTGAAACATTTATTAGAGTAGCATGAAGGTAAAAACCAAAAACATAGTTTGGTATTGTGAATTGGTATTAAACACGAAAAATTGGGATTATGTGATAAAATATTTCATCTGATAATACTAATTATATTTTTCTGATTGTCACTTCGCAGTAACCAACAAATATTGCTTGTAAAAGAATTCAAAAATTCAAAAATATAAGTACATATCAAGTTTAACTTTGTTTTGTTCTTATTGGGTTACATTTTTACTTGTAGAAATTGGCGTGTCTGTCTACATAACATGATACATAAATATTTACTCATTTACGATTACCCTACCAACAAAATTTTCTATGGGGCAATTGTATATATTGATTTAAAAAATAAAAATTTAATTTTTTATATATTTTTTCATGTAAATTCTTATTTTAATAAACAAGCATAAATTTTTTGAAGTACAGATATAAAAAAAAAGAGAGATAATACAAACAATATTCTTTCTATAAAATATTGTATTATATATTTACAATCACCCCAATTCACACAACTATAATTTATAATCACTTTAGTTCAGCAGCTTCACGATTTTTACGCTCTTCTTCTTTTTTGTTTTCTAAATTAATTTTTCTTGCTGCTTTCTTCTTTTCAATTTCTTTTCGTTCCCTCTCAGCCCTTGCACTCTCGTAATCAATTACTATAGTTTTTTCGGTCTTCTGTAATCTATTGACAATAGTCTTCTCTTTTTTCACATTAACCTTTTTTACCTATAGGATATGAAAAGTTAAGATTGTTTTGAGTTATTTGTGTGAATCTAATAACATATTGTGTATACATATATATTTTACAGTCAAAGTGTACAAGCAGTATTGTATATAAAGACTATTCAACCCATTATATGAAACCCCAAAAACCTCTGTGCAAAGTATATATTTTATATTTTAACTAAACATTATATAAAATGACAAATAGTCTTTTTAAGTTATGTGTTAATGTGTTATCAAATCAAAAAGAAATACTCTCTGCAAATAAAAGTAATACATGTTGTATCGATGATAAGTATCTTTGGTATTGTTTCAGGCTCATTCTATCTATTATATATTTTTACTTCCAAATTTTATAATAGACCAATTCACCCTAATATTAAAACATAAGTTGGAGTTAAATTAATTATTCAGAGGGTACAATTTACAATGTTACATGTTTGTGAGATGGAGACTGTGAATTATATTAATATCTTCTTATTTCTATCTTTTTTTTGAATGTCTAGATTTAAATTCAATACATACTAAATCTAAGTAAAAAAAAATTGCTTCCCGCTCCCTAGTAAAAGTACATAATATTATATAAAGTTAATTTTGCCATATTCTATACTATAAAATTACAACACATTATTTAGAATGACTGAGTTTTACCCTTTGACTATGACATATATAAAAGTAAAGAATACAAACATACACTACTTGGATTCAGAAATGCCACTTCCCCAGGTTTCATGCCAGGTAATTTTTTAAGATTTGACCACATTGTGTACACTACTTTAACTTCAGCTAATTTACATCCTTGAATACTGTTTGCTTTAACCAATTGACATGCGTCTTCCAACAATTGTTTAGGTATATCATCAATTGTTTGGCCCTGTGAAAAAACATAAATAACATAAATGTATGTATAAATAAATAAATCATTCAAAATTAATTAAAAGCATCATTAATTTAACAATAAACAATACCTCTTTTAACCTTAGATACACATGTGCTGATGAGAGGCTATCCACATGAAACCACACATCTTCAGGTAACATATTTTCAATAAGTTCATCATCTGAAAGAAAAATAAATATTAAATTCTAAAATAAATACACTTTTATTTTTTTCTTATTAAATAATAATTAAATTTAAATATATTTATTTACATAACTACATAATTTATAACCTATTTTTTAATGTTAAATTGTATAATGCTTATCTACATTTATAGCGGAATAATACAAATATTGGTGTTTGCAGTTAATTATCACATTAAAGGGTATATGCTAAATTGGTGTTAAATGATAAATTAAAAATGATACAGGTAAATTGATACTTTTATCTAGAACTATTCAATACTATACATTTCTTAAATTGGTAAAATAATTGAAAGATTATATAGCACCATGTGCTTGAATTGAGGAGGGACAGTCTCAATTCTTATATATATATATGCAAGTTCCTTCTAATTTTATTATAATTAATACGACATTTAAATACTTTTGCATCCTCTTTCTAGATTTTCCCCAATTCAAGTACTGTAAGTTGGCTATGCCTTTAAAAGTAAAAAAAATAATAACAAAGTTGTTTAATAATTGTCGATTATTGTTAACTATAATTATATTACTCTACATAGCTTGATATTAAAATAATAGTTTAAAAACAAAAGTAATTAACATAATTTTTTTTTGTTATTTTGGTATAAATTTATGTTGGATAAATTGTTCCAATTCAGTCTTGTTATTTATCGCCCCACCATCCAGTGTATACAATTTGTCACCCAGCTTTCAGGTGACCCAATTTCAGCAGTCTTTACCTAATCTTAAATTTCGATATTCATGATTGATATATCACTAAATTTCTATGATATCTTACTTTTACTTTTAAAATAATGTTATAAGAATATATTAATAGTGAAAAAAATTGTATGTTGATAAAACTATAAAAGAAAACATTTTTGTACACACATTTAATTATTTATTCATACTTCACGTATTATTAGATTAGCACCTATGATAAAATTATGATTATGGTGCTTGAAGTTCTGAACCTACAGTATGAGTTATGACAATGTAAATGGGGAGTACCTATACACAACTATCAAAAGATATGATAACAAAAAAAGCGGGTAAGTGGATGTTGCTCTGCTGCACAGTAGGTTACAAGTTGGTAACTGTATAATGGGTTGTTTTAAATTTGAATTCAATGATATCATATCATTGTATACGAAAATGTGAGTACCTTTGTACTCACAAATGATGTGTAAACATCTTAGCTGTAGTACGACTTTGATTGGGGAATATAATGTCATAGTTTGAGTGGGAATTTGTATAATACATATTATACAATACAAACACGGTTTCGAGCGTATACGTAAACGAGAATAATAAATAATATTAATAATAATAATGAATCGGCTGACGACTGTACCAGAGCGCGTTCGCACCTACCAGACTCGTGAAAATAACAAAGAAAATAATAGATAAGCAACTCGCCTGGTTTATTGGTTCTGCGATTTTAGCGCTATGGAGACGACACACACACACACACTCAAGCAGTCACATCTACATGACTTACGCCTGACGCTCGATTCCCCAAGAAGGTCGTACTACAAACCGATAGCATAGATGTTAACACATCAAAAACTGTTTTGCATTTTCATAACCGCAAACTAGGAAGACCGTGAACTGAGAAGACTGCTTGTAAACTTCTGAATATATAACTCGTATCTTAATTCAAACTATTGAATCTCTAATAAATTTACATAACGTATATTATACATATAGGTAATTAAATTAATTAATTAAAGCAACAACTTATGTTTTGTATAAATTCAACAATATCCATTTGTTTTTTCAAAATGTAATACTCAACACAGGTTTGAGGTCATAGGTCATTTTTTCAAACAAAACCTGACTATTGTGTGAATTTATTAACTATCTCCTTTAACTTATTTGACTCGTGTTGAAACAAATGAATGTTCATTTTAAAAATTCAACTTGAATGTGATCAAACTACAAAGTAGCTCTGGACTTACTTTCATAGCTGTCTACACCTCTCAGGAGCGTTACAGGTGGGTCAACAGCTGAAAAAATAAAGTCTCATTAAAACATTACAAAAGTCTAACGCTGTCGAGCTGAATCGCACTCGTCGACGGGGCGTTGTATTTATATAAGTCTAAAAACGCACCTGTACTCGTGTACTGTAATACCATCGTAGGCGCTGCGCTGATCGAAGTGTAAAAGAATTGGCGGTGAGACCTAAAGCAAAACTAACGAAAAACGCGATTCGTTTTCCCAACAGATATGCCACAGGTTTCACGGTCGGAATCACGTGAATGGTGTGCGGCAACCAGGTTAGCGGCCGAAACTCTAGAGGTCGACGATTAAACGTCTGTTGATCACAAATCGCCGAGAATCGTATTTGGAATGACACGCGGTCGCTAACAGTCGTAAGTTGTCAAAATATTACGTCGCCGACAAAAACGTGCGCACGGTGTATCGCGTCCTACCAGCGGTTATCTACTATCAATGTATATCGGTTATCTAATAACCACAGATATATATAATAACTAGATACCCGACTTCTTCTTATCAATGACGCTGGCAGCCATTTGCAACTTTGGCACATATATATCTGTGATGTTTACTAATCAAAAGGTAATGTGATAATAAACAACAAAGTCACAAATGGCGTCGCCGCGTCGGGCATCATAATTTAATAATGTATAATATTATGAAGTCGGGTATATTCTAGTTATTATAATTTATAATATATCTGTGACTATGACCATAGAATAACTGCTGTACGTTTTCTGCTGTTTGTACGTTGGGTAGTCCGGATGCAATTTATCACGGCCGGATTTGCGCCTATGCACGGCACACCGTCGTAAATATTGTAATCGAAGCCGTCAAAATCCGATAGTACCTACCTATGTGAATCTCGAAAATAAAAAAATAAATCACAAAAAACGCATAAGAGGATGCCACACGCCCCACACCCACAAGTATTGACACTTGACCGACAACGTACGACATGATAACATTCTTTGTGCTTTCACATGTATTATTTATGAAATTTCAATTTTTTAAATGTAATATTTTACATCATTCGGATGACGGATATGCCACTAGAGCTTTTTTCCAGGGGATCAGATACATTTTGTACTTCATGGTCTAGGGTTTTTTTCAAAAACTACAATGATAACTTAGATAAATAATTAATTAATTTTAACATAACCTAGTAAATATACTGTTAAAGTAACAGTGTAGCACAAATTTAACTTTTTATAACATTCAGTACTACTTATTTACTACCTAGTTGTTATATTTTAAGTTCTAAATAGATAATATGTATGAACTTATGATTATTTAACAATGTCATAATAATACTACCTATTTGGATATATGATGTTTTTTTTTTATGAAAACAAGATAATATTTTAATACAGACTTTAAACCATTACATTGACGATGATGTACAAATGTTTAATTTTATAACATATCTACACCTTTATGACTGAATAATTATGCTACTTTTAACTTTTGTTTCATAAATACAAATTTAGATGATTTAATTTAATATTAAGCAGATGGATTTGATTGACTAGAATTGTATGCACTGCTTTGGACATTTGAGACACATCCTAATTTTCATTCAAAATCAATAATTAATGCTTATTATTTAATGCAATAATAAATTAAAACAATATTTATACTTTTTTTATTTTAATTTATTTAAAAAAGTTGCCAAGTGAGTACCTCTACTGCTCTGCTATACAGTAGTTGTTGAGTATATGTCATTGTAATGGATGCTTTATTTGAATTCAATGATAAGCCATTGCATACGAAAAACGATTCTGAGCAGAGACGTTATGTCATCCTAGCATACTTGTCGAAAAATCAAATTTAATAATTAAAAAAAAATTTGCATGAATATAAATATAGACATTTTCCGGTAAACTTTTTTTTTTTTTGTTAAAGGTAGACAAATTTCTGGGAATCTTCTATTACAATTTCTAATGTTAGCTTTAAAAAAAAAATAACATTTATGAATTTCTAACCAAAAAATAATTTACAACATTTGAAAAAATTATCATAGCTCAAAAAGAGTCAAAATAGTTTGAATTACCATGTATAGAAAATTATCATTTCAACGTTTGGCGAAAACATCGAGTGCCTACCGCTATTCATTTGTAAATTACAACCAAATATCAAAAATCAATAGATGGAAATACATTAATTTACAGATGAAAATCCAATATCGTAAAATTTTTAAATACAAACGCTCATAAAAATGAATGTCCAGTTATAACGACATGCTCAACATCTAATATACAGCAGAGCGGTACTCACTTGTCCATCTTTTTTACTTTTAGATTCTGAGCAGAGATTTTGTGTGTTTTTTTATATTATTTTTATTATTTGTGTCGAAATAATGCTTCGATTTCCAATTTCTTTAGTTTTATTTTCTATGAATGTCAATAACATTTTATTTGTTGGGTAAAAAAGCATAAAAATTTAATACAAGGCTCCTGATATATTGTTACATACCAGTTGAAAAATATTAAAAATCCATACCTAGTCACAACTTTTTACAAACATTTAAAGTTCAAATTTTGACAAAATGCAAAAATATCACACAAATTATTTTGTTAAAAATATTTATAATTTTTTTTTTTTAAATCTAAGATTTGGAAATTTAATACTAGACATGTTATAAGTAAAAAAAAAATCAACAAAAAAATCCCTACCAGAAAGTCAAATTAAATTGTTAAATTGTTATGATCGTTTGAAGTTCATATTTTTACAACATTGTATATTCACTCGAAATCTCTTATAGGTGGTAGGGATTTTGTAATTTTTTTGTAATTCAATAACGAATAACTGGAGATGTATGAAAATTTGACTGAATGTTTAAATTCACTTTTTCTATACACCACAACGTTTTGAGTTGTTTACAGACAATTTCAAATTTAAATTTTTTTCTTTAAATATCAATAAAATTTTATCTGTTGGGCCAAAATGGGTGAAATTTTAATACGAGGCTCCTGATACATTGTTAAAATAGTAGGTTAAAAATATTAAAAAAGTTGGGCAAGTGGGTGTCACTTTGCTTTACAGTAGGTTACAAGCAGGTCACTAACCACTGTAATGGATGGTGTTAAATTTGAATACAATGATATACAATTCAATAATATCATTGTATAAGAAAAACAATTCTGAGTGAAAACGGTCGGTCAGCCTATGATATCACTAAGTATATTTGATGATATTATTGTGAAGAAAGTAACTTATATAATGTGTATAACCTATTTATGTGGAACCTTGTTTTAAATTTTTAATCCTTAGCTATAAAAGTTGAACATTGTATACATTTTTATTTACAAAATAATTATTACATTTTAAATTTTGTCAAAATTTTGAACTTTAAATCCTTATAAAAAAAAATTGTGACTAAGGATTTTTAATATTTTTCAAATCTCATTGTAACAATATAGAGGAGCCTTGCAATACATTTTCAAGCATTTTCAAAATATTTTGAAAATTTTATCATGCATAGACAATGCTGATATAAACATTCCGTCAAATATGTATGTATCACTGTCATTTGTTTTAAAGTTACACCAAAAACAAAAATCGAATTTGTCAAAATTTCCATTTTTCATTTTTATAAATAAAAAAAATTTATTTATTTTGAGAGTAGGTATTTATTATTTACAGAAATATAATTGAATTTTTTTTGAGAACATTTGCCAAGATATTTATTTATTTTATTTTATATATTTATACCTGGCAATTATGTTTTGTGTAGTAAAATATTTGTATTTATGAAAATGTTGCATTAAAAAAATGCAAATTATTAAAGCATATTTGTACTTTTTTAAGTGCATATTTTGTAGGTACCTTATACGTGAATTAAGTTCTGAGCCCTAATATTAATATAATATTATTATGTTTAATTATATTAGATTATTTTCGTTGTTTTCTGTTGTAACGTTTTGAAGTCCTGAATTATTATAATTTTAAATTTGAATCATTATTATGAACGTAAAATTTTGATATGGTGCGCATGGGTCAGAAAGAGAAAACAAATAGTGGGGTGACATCCTCTTAACATAAAAATAAAGATTTGAACATCAAATAAACGTGGCAACAAATATTGTGATAAAGATTATATTTTATATAGACATGTATTACTCTTAAGTATAATTGGACCCAACTATAGTAAACAATTTTTAAAAGGATTTATAAGAATAATTACTACAATTTTGATAGAAGCATGAATCATAAAATTTAACTAAACTAATACTAATAATAAGAATTTTGGTATTTCAAGAAATATGTGAAAAAGGCTTGTTTATTGTTCTATAACATTGATTGTCTTAGTAAGTTACTAATAGTAACACACGCTAAGATATTGTAACTCAGTCGGAAGAAGTATAATATAACCTTTAGTTGACATAGAACTATAGATTTAATTATATAAATTATACTTGTTATTATTAATTTGTTTAGAACTTTCAAAAATAAAATCAATTAAAATATTGCTTTATTTAATTTACTATAGCGTACTATAATAATAATAATAATAATAATAATAATAATATATATATTTTAACTTTTTTTACATTAAATCTAAGGTACCAAATATACAATAATAGTTATTGCATTTTAGAATTATATTTTAAAGAATTAGATTAGGTACTAAGAATTTTGTATAATGTAGTTTTAGCTTAAGAAGCCGTGGTACCGGCATATGTTGTCTCCGTTTTACTCACAACATTTTCTTTTGGCAGTTTCCATAGTGTCAGTTTTGATATTATAGTGAATTGACCTATTATCAAACTTTTAGGTAAGAACATTATCCTAGTTTTCTGGTTGGGTTTTTACAGTATTTAATTTTTAAAAGAGTTATGAGTAATACTTAACTTAGTAATACTTATGTCTACTATCCTATAATTAATGAGTATAATCATTGAGTGTATATTGTATAAATGTAAAATATACATTCAATGGTATAATATTAATATTTGAAAATGCTCATAATTCACTTAAAAATAAAATATTGTAGTAAAAAACCAACAAGAGAAGGATAATATTCTTATATAATAGTTTGATAATGGGCCAATTCACTCTAATATCAAAACTGACAGCACACTATTGAAACTGGCGAAGAAAAATTTGCCATGTTGTTTGTGTGTAAACCGGAGTCAACACATGTGGGGCCACGTCCTCTTAATATCTTATAATTAATTGTCTGTACAATAATAATAAAAAAGATACCTAAATAAATTAAATATGTTTATGGATGTAATTAACTTACATTAAAAAAAATTCTTACTATAATATTAAATAAGCATTGATACTAAATGTTAACATTACATGTTGTAAGCTTATTTTGAACATATTTAAATATTTGCTAAATAGCTAGAATTGCTTAAGTACAATTGTAATGTTTCAAAGTAATATCAATAAATGCATTGGCATTAGTTTAATTCATATATTTAAAAATATAAATATTTGTTTGAGGTAAATTTGTTAAATTATATAACTCAAATATCATTAATATATCACTGAAAAGGGGTATTTAGATACATTTATGAGGATTAAAAACACCTGAAAATGTTCTGAGCATTGCTGTTTTACTGTTGGACTAAGAGTTTTTTTTTGTTTTATCTTAATTATAGAATTTTTATAGAATTTTAAAAATATAATTTTTTTTGTAGATATAAATCAAAAACACAATAAAACCTCAATTAATTTAACTTAAAGTGAATAGTTGCAGTATCCATAAATCTATGATTAAAACATAATAAATATAATTAAATGAATATATACAAAACCTCGTTTAAAAATAATTGAGCAAATTTAAAACAAACTAACCACATTTTTATTTAGTACCATAATGAAAGTATTATTTATTAAATATGCTAATTGATAAAAATGTAATTAATTATAATAGTAATCTTCAATCAGATTCAAGTAAATTATATTTTCGATGCATTTCTGCTACAGTTACTCCTTCTAAAATAGCTAGTCTTCCCAAAACTTCTTGAGTAGCATCTTTAATATCATTGTATTGATGTAATGCATTCATAATTTCATCTTTTTCTTTTTTTTTCATTTTCAGTTTTTCCAATTCTATATCTATTGATTTATCCAGTTCATGTAAGTCCTTCTATATTAAAAAATAATTTTGATCAGTCAGTTATGTTACATATTTTTTATTTTATTGAATAATTTAATTATAATGAATTTAAAATAGAATCGCAAAAATATACTTTTTAAAATCAAAAAATATTTTTTTATCAATTAGTGAGAATTATAATAAATAAACAACAGTGGCCTAACAAGGAGGGAGGTGGGAGGTTGTGACTACGTTAAAAAATATACCAAGTGTCAAATTCAATCCACAATTTGCGGTTGTCCACCTGGCTAGGTACACCTGCGCAGTTAGGTTACACAACTAGTCTATAAATAAAAGTTGAACAATTTTATTTGTATTTTAAAGATTTTACTCTTAAACCTAACTTAACCTTACTCCCTCCTCACTGAAAATGAATCCGGGTTGCGCTACTGAACAACAATTTTTAAATAATAAAACTTGTATGTTAACATGAAAAATAATATTAGTAAAAAGTAATTAAAGCATGTATCAGTGAATAGTAAACAGCATGTCCGCCACCACATTATGTCTAAACCCAAACTATGTTTAGACTAGTAGTTGTGCCTGAACACTGCATGAAGAATGTAAGTACCCTAAATAAATTGTTTTTGTATAAGAAGTGTGTTGGGAAAAAAAAGTTGAATGCAAAAAATTCATGTAGGTTTCATTCTTTTATTTTAAGCCCATTTCAACAACAACAAAAAAACATAACCGTCTCGGCGAAAAAGCCAATGACATGACTGCATCAATTGACATTTTTTAAATTGAAGGTTAGGTTTTAAATTCGATAAGTGCTGCAGTGGCACGATTATAAATAACAGGTTATGCGTCGGTACTCGGTATAAGGTTTGTATGGCACAACCGCGGTCAGAAATTGATATAGTTCGGCTATTTACCACTAGGTAGGCGCTGCTAGTTAACCGGGCTCTAAACGAATTGTTCCTTGTCGTCATAAATATAAATCATCTATTGTGATTTGTGAAGACGAATCGTATAATATATTATTAATATTTAATATTATTGTCATAGTGGGGTCATACGTCTGACATACGTTATTATATTATTATTTTATTATATTATTTATTTCCGAATTATCGAAACACGCCATCTTCTTGCTGTATTGTGTTTTGTACGTCAGGATATAAATCAAACCCAGAAAAAGTTTCACTGTTTCAATTTCCTAAAAATGAAATTTTGAGGGAAAAATGGGAAAAATCTATTCCTCGTGCTAATCTTGTTGTCAACTCAAAGACAGTGATTAGTGAAAAACATTTTACACCTGATCAAATTGTTAGAACTTGGGAATCTGGTTCTGGTGCTTCAAAAGTCACAATATTACCTAGCTACTGTAACTTATCCTTTGTTTAATGAATCTTTTTTTATATAAAAATGTCTTAAACGTTTTTATAGATATATTTAAAACGAGCATAGCTTGCTCATGATGCTGTTCAAACTTCCAAGTATATCTCCGGGTCCGAAATATTTGTCAAACCCAGTGAAAAAAAGGAAATTACCATCTGATATGTAGAGTTGATTTGATTAAATTAATTTAATCCAATAAACTCTAGTTTTGGCAATACATTAGGGCTCAAATTGGTATATGTAAATATAATATATATAAAATATGTACTTTTTAAAAATGTACCTATTTACTTTGTACCACACAGAATAACGTTATACTTTTAAATACTAAAAAACACAATGATATACATACACTTTCTAACTCCTGGTTCCTAATGTAACTGACCACAACTGACATAACTGATTATTGAGATATAGTTTTTGTCGTCACCGAATAATCACTATTCATTTGTGAAAATTATGATCTAGCCCCCCCCCCCCTCCCACAATTAAGTCTTTAGAACTGGCCCCTATTGTAGTGAATTTAGGTATGTTTTTCCATTTCAAAATTAGGAAGAACATTTTATTAAATTACTAGGCAATAGGCATTTTCCAAACATTGTAAAACCATTAAAAAAAATAAACAAAAATGTTAAGATAATTTAAAATTTATCAAAATATTTTTAAAACACCATTGCATCTCTTAAAAAATTATATTATAATTAATAATAATAATTCAATTAGGTTGATGAAAAATAATTTAATATTATCAAAGTTTGTATACATTGTTAGTAGGGCCGAAATAAAAAAAGAGAGGTCTAAAAATACAGTAGGCTACACCCAAAATGCAGGTCTATGAATTTCCTATGAATAAAACGCTAATATTAAAACAAAAGGTTTATCAATTTATTAATTAAAAATTAGTTTTAACATGGTTTGTATAGGAAAATGTTAATATGTAACACGGATGACTTGCAGCGCTCGGCGGTTTTAAGAACTACACCGCCGTAACAAAATCTGACCGAAAATATTCCTTCCGACGCATAACCTGTTCTTTATAATCCTGTGCAGTGGACTGTATTTTAATTGATTACATAATGAGATAATGATAACATTCTTGATAAACAGTGAGAATAGAAACTACATTGAATGATAATACGATGAGCGCTTTTATGTTATGGAAGCATATTCGATTATATGAGGATGAAATTATGTACAGTGAAACCTTTAAGTTAGGACATTCTTGGTTGCTGAAATGTTGTGTCCGTTAGAAGAGGTTTACTGTATTTACTTTCTATTGAAGTTTTATATATACTATTGTAATTTTTTTTAAAAGATGATTAAACAGTAACTTTTAAATTTATACTATATCGCACTATTTAGATTAATACAAATATTATTTTATTAAAACACAGCCTATAGAATTTATTATAAAAATTCTTAATTTACCATTCATTGTATAGGCATAATTAATTAATGTTCATTTATTCTTTTAGGTTATAAGATAGAACATTTTAATACAGGGTGATTCTTTGTATATATAAAATGGTATACTCTTAAGAGGACCGTTATAAACACATGTCTAGTCTCCGTCTTACAAATAGACAATAGCAAATTAATTTGAGACTTCAGGACAAAATCGCTAACAATATTTGAAAATGATCAATAACCTTTTTAAAATTGTATTTTTAGTTTTATATTTGATAACATTTACTTTTGTAGCTTCAACATCAATATAGATAAAAAAAACAAAAATGCTTGCCTTTTTACCATCAGTACTTGTTTGTTAGTGCAGTATACAATTTACAACCCAGCTACCAGCCAACTTTACGTCAGCAGTCATTACCCAATATTTTAGATTCATGATCAATATTTCTCTATATTTAAATAATATCTTACGTTCAGGTTAGTCTAGTATGAGATCTATTTATGGAAAAAAAGGTAAATACTACGTATAATATTTGAAATTCTATTTAATTCAATTTTAATCATGTTAGTATATAGTTAAAACACTCGTTTTTTTTGTCTTGTCTTAATATTGTAGGTATATATCATTTAAAATGGGTACCAATCCTACAAACATTATTAGTTTAATATAAAATATTGTTAAAAATTAATTTTAATGCCTTATTTCCAGCTATATTTAATACTGGCATTCAGTTTTTACAGCAAAAATATGCTGTTAAAACAAATAAAATGTGTGACATTTAAGGATCTTTATAAAACTGTCTAATTTTTTTACAAGTAGTTATGAGATATTAATTAAGCTACTAAATATTATGATACTATTCATTTTAAAGAACTTATTGTTATTATATACTTTTATTTGAAATTATATAATAGGAGAACAGACGATCAACTTCTGGGTGGTACATTTTATACGATACGGTCAAGGGGCACCATCAAACAAGTACCTTATCATGTAAGAGGACGCTCCACAGAAATTTGTAGTCTCCGTCCTACAAGTGCGTAACAGCAAATTTTATGCTCAGCATATCACGTTTTGTTCTGTTAGTTTAAAAATTAAAGTAAATTGTGCTCTTATATAATTTAAAGGTAAAATTATTATTTAGAACATCTCATAGGCTTTTAGTTATATTTTAATTTTAAAGAGAGTTATGAGTATTTCAAGATGTATAATTTTAAATTTTAAAATACTCATAACTTCCTTTAAAATTAAAATATAATAAAGAGCATGTAAGATGCCCTAGATAATAATCTTACTTTAAATTTTATAAGAGGTCAATTAACTCTAATTTTTTAACTAACGAAGCTAAATGTGACTGCTGAGAGTAACATTTGTTATGTTACGCATTTGTAAGACAGAGACAACAAATGCCCATGTAGGGTCCTCTTAATATTTATTAATCATTGTGAATTATATTCAGTTTTATTTTCACTAACATTAAATTTTTATTTAAATCAATAAGTCAATAAAAATCATAATACTTTTTCCGCTAGATTGTTCATTGCTATCTTTTTATCGTTATTCATTATTCTATTTTGGCTTTTCTGTATCCTTGAGTGGTGAAGTTTTTTCTTTGTTTGTTCCCAAATGTAAAGTAGTTGTCTGTTCGTATTGCAATCCGTATTCTTTCATACCACGCTATTGAAATAGTAATGGTTATTAATTAATTTAAATAATAATTCATTAATTTGTATATGTTAACTTACTTTTACACAGTCTGTATACAACTCAAACACTTTATTGCATCCTTCATTGTTATAATGTCCATTCATATAATGTTCAGTAAACCATACATTAAAACATTGATCATACTTATGTTTTAATTCGTCGCAGTCAGGATGGAAACTGTTAAGCCGATCAACTTTTGTAGTAGTAGGGCTAGAATTATTATCATCCATCTCTATTACACAAATGATAGCTTTATATAAATATTATTATTCAAAATTAATTAAAAGTGACTAGGTACAAAAACACTAAGTATCAATATTTAATAAAGTATATTAATTAAATAATTATTTGTAAGAATCTTCATGAATGGTCTGTTTACAATTTGGCCAATATACAAGCGTTGAATCATCACAAACTGTGTTGGCGCTATTGCCTATAGTATAACACAACATTTTTAGACACTCGGCCACATTAAAAAATTTAAAAGGTTTGGCGAGCTGGAAAAAAAATAAAATTGTAACCTTATTTTTAAAATGTTTAAATAATAAATAATACAGTTTATAATAAAATAAAAAAAGTGTAGAAATTACAACTGTTTAGAAAATACTTAATGTATTGTGATTTTTGTTGTTGCATATTGTTCCCTACTTTTATGAATTACTAAGAAAAAATTACTTATATCTACTAAAGATATAGTCATCCGTTAAGTGTAAACATTATAGGTTTTTAATTAAATTCATATGAGAAAGTTAGTTTACACACGTATCTATGTAACCTAGAATGACCACATTACAATAAATGGACAAACAATTCGAGAACTAAAAAAACCTCCAAAAATGTAAAGTGTTTTTGAGATATTTGCATAATATATTAGGTAAAGAGCGGCTTTTTTGGGAATACATATAAATATTACACTGTACAATATGCCTATTAGGACATGTCTCATGCTTATCGTTGACCACTGTTTGTCATCATTTGACGCTTGTTATACAAAAAATGTTGCTTATGAGTTATGACTGTTAATTTTAGTTTCAACAATTGAATATAAAAACTGTAAATATGATGCCATAAAAGTTGTAACATTGTTTCAGAAGATTAAATATCAGGAATAAATTGATTCTTATCTTATAGTGAGCGTGCTGTATGAAATATAACTAGAATATATATTAGTTAAGATCTACAATTTGCACTTGTACCTCTAGTGTTAGAATAGGGATAGGTATTGATATTAAAACATAACATGTAGTACTGGGAATATTATACTGTTTATAATACCGTTGTATTAAGCGGTGTACTTATAATACATACCTGTTTTAAACTGAATTTACACACGATAAATGCAAAATACACCAGTGAATAGTTGTAATGGCAGTAAGCAAATGAAATCGGTTTTAATGATGGAGAGCCGATGGTAATATTAAATTGTTTTAACTATCAAAGGTTATAGGCATCTTGAACTCAATAGCGTGACATTTACTATCAATTATCATGAAAATAATAGCGAGTAACAATTGAAAATATAATAAAATTACGAACTATATTATTATCTTTGTTTGAGTTTACAATGTTTACATGACGTGAATCATCGAGATAAAAAAATTCCTTCATTTCGATGGCATGATCCACAAAAGTGCGAAACCGTTAATGATAATATGGCGGTAAGTGGTAACCAATACTGATAGTGTCGTGGAACAATAATTTCGACCATGAACATAATATTATATAATAGTATAATAGTATAATATAAATAATATAATATATAGTATGATATTATATTATATTATACTATTATAGTATTACATTTAGGTATACATTTAGGTAATAATGACCAAGTAAACAACTTTGGTTTCTAGTTTTTACTTAGGTCTTAGGTCTCGGGGCCCACGCACATCATAGGCAAAAGTACAAACGCATTTACGCCGAATCATTTTTTTTTTATGTTTTATAGAGTAGGTAATCTTAGAGTAAAATCACCCATTACAAAAACGATAGAGAATAATTTTTTGAGGGGGTGACATATCAATTTGCCTAAATATTGTCTCAAAAACAATTTAAGGAACATTAATTAAACTCGTGTTTTATACCGGAAAGTTCCGTAAATAATAGACTGTCCCGGAGTCCCGACAAAAGCTTTCGTTGTCCCATTTTTAAAAAAAACTATGGAAATTGTTCATATATTATACTTAGATATAAAAAAATGTGAAAAAAATTACAATATCAATATTAAACAACAAAGATACTTCTAGTAGTAATTAAATATAGGTAGGTAGGTACCTACTATACTGTTACCTGTATTAATATTTAATATCATTATGAAAATGCTAAAAAGTCTCATTTTTAGATTCTGAGTGAAACGATGAATGTATTGATTTTACAATGATGTGTGTTTTTTTTTATTTTTTTATTTTTTTTAGATTCTGAGCGGAGCGATGAATGTATTGGTTTTACAATGATGTATGTTTTTATATTTTTATATTTTTATATTTTAGATTCTGAGTGAAACGATGAATGTATTGATTTTACAATGATGTGTGTTTTTTTTTTTATTTTTTTTTTTATTTTTTTTTTTATTTTTGTGTCTGTCATCACGTTTTAGGACAGTAAAAGTGCTTGGATTTTCTTCATCAGTAGCTTTTCTGATAGGAAAGTGAATCTAGTTGGTACTTTGGGGGGTCAAAAGTATAAATTTGCCAGTAGTTTTCACAAGCGCCGGGAAAAACAACATAAAAATTAAGGAAAAACGGGAATTTTTACGCAAAATTGGTTTTCCAAAAAATCGATTTTGGTTTTTGGTGTAACTCTAAAACAAATGAACGTATATACATGAAATTTTCACTGGTTGTTTATATTTGCATTTTCTATACACGATAACATTTTCAAAATATTTTGATTTATTTTGAACTGTTTAGGGACATTTTCATTTTTCATTTTTTTTTAGTTTTTTTTCTAGAAATATCAATAAAATTTTATTTGTTGGTTGCGAAAGCTTGAAAATTTAATAGAAGGCTCCTAATATGTTGTTTCAAAGGCAGATGAAAAATATTAAAAATCCTTAGTCACAATTTTTTTTTATAAGCACTTAAAGTTCAAAAATTGACAAAATATGGAAAAATCACGAAAATTAGCAAATTATTTTGAGTTAAGAATTCGTAAAAATTTTTCTTTTTAAATCTAAGATTTGAAAATTTAACACAAGATTCCTTATAAGATTATCTACCTTTATCAAAAAAAAAAATGTCTATAAGAAAGTCAAATTAAATTTTTATGAGCGTTTGAAATTCAAATTTTTACAACATTGAATATTCACTCGATTTCCCATGTAGCGATTTCCTTAGTTTGTTGTAATTCAAAAACAAATAACTGTAGATACATGAAAATTTCACTGAATGTTTATATTGGCATTTTCTATACACCATACAATTTTGAAAATATTTTGACTCTTTTTGAGCTGTTTATGGACATTTACAGCTTTCAATTTTTTTTAGTTTTTTTTTCTATAAATATCAATAAAGTATTATCTGTTGGGCCAAAAAGTGGAAAAATTTAATACAAGGCTCCTGATATATTGTTTCAATAGCAGTTGAAAAATATTAAAAATACATAGGCACAGTTTTTTTTTATAAGCATTTAAAGATCAAATTTTGACAAAATTTATCAAAATCTCGAAAATTATCAATCATTGTAATTAATAAATTATAAAATGTTCAGTTTTTATAGCTAAGGATTGCAAATTTTAAACAAAGGTTCTCATAAATAGTTCATACTGTAACCAAAAATCTAAAAAATATATGAACACAGTTATTTTTTATAGACATTTTAAATTCAAATTTGGACGAAATTACATATTAAAAAAACCTAGAATAACTATTATAGTTATTTTGTTGTGATTGAATAATATTATTCGTGGGTACTTGAAACTTCTAAAGTGTACTATTATATATCTATGATAGTATCACGGTTTTTGTTGATGTATAACGCGTTATAAGTACCTAATGGACATTGTGATATGATTAATTTGGAATTTATTATAGGTACCTTTTATAGTTCAATTTTTTGTTTAATACCATAGATATGTATATAATATGTCTTATACATAGACTGACATACCGTCTCCGCTCAGAATCGTTTTTCTTATACAATGATATTATATCGTTGAATTCAAATTTAATATCATCCATTATACAGTGACCCAATTGTAACCTACTGTACAGCAGAGCGACACCCACTTGCCCACCTTTTTTTCAATTAAGGAGGATAATATCATTAGGTAGGTATGTTATTTTAGTAAAAATAAAAATAATAATTAATCCAGTATTGAAGTTTTTTATATCTAGTAACTCTACTTATTAGTATTTCCAATTAGTTTTAACTAAGTAATACAATTCATAGGTGTTCAACAGTTTAATTTTTCTAAATATTGTATTTAAGCTATTTTACATATTAAAAAAAGGGATGATGACAGTGTGAGTTTGTTGTATATTTAAATTAGTAGGTACTACAAAATATAATATTTATCATCAATTTAAAATATGTCCATTATATTTTATTGTAGTTAGATCACAGTTAATGGTGTGCTTAATATTGGGTGTAAATTTGGGAGTTTTGATAAATGTAAATAAAAAAAAGGTGGGTAAGTGGATGTCGCTCTGCTGTACAGTAGGTTACAAGTGGGTCACTGTATAATTGATGCTATTAAATTTGAATTCAATGATACAATATCATTGTATAAGAAAAACGATTCTGAGCGAAGACGGTATGTCAGTCTAGGTTAAGACAAATTATATACATATCTATGGTATTAAAAAAAATTGACCTATAATAAATTCCAAATTAATCATATCACATTATCACAATGTCCATTAGGTACTAATAACACGTTATACACCAACAACAAACCCAGATACTATCATATATATATAATAGTACACTTTAGAAGTTTCAAGTAGGTACCCACGAATAATATTATATAATCACAACAAAATAACTAGGTTTTTTAATATGTAATTTCGTCAAAATTTGAACATAAAATGACTATAAAAATAAACTGTGATTGTATATTTTTTAGATTTTTCGGTAAGAGAATTAACTACTTACGTGAAATCTTGTTTTAAATTTTCAATCCTTAGCTATAAAAACTGAACATTTTATAATTTATTAATTACGATGATTAATAATTTTCGAGATTTTGAAAAATTCTGTCAAAATTCGATGTTAAAATGCTTATAAAAAA